ACTTGAGCCAAGATCCAAATGGAGATCTCATGAAGAACACGTCAAGAACATGCATGAACCCTAGTCTTTGATCCATCTTCACGTGTGCGTTCTTGAGCCGTTTTGTTCTTGATTCTGGGGTTGTGACAAGGAACCTCGCCATAAAATGTCGCGGGGCTTGGTAGTCGAGGGGTTCGGGAGAACAGAGTCTGGCATGCACGCCGAGGCCATTACACCGAGGTGCACGTTCAACACTTAGTCATTTCTAGCTTCATTTCTTACGTGTGCATGCCTTGATCCCAACGTGCCTAGGCGTCAGCACGAGATCTAGTCCAAAATACTCCCAAGATATGAGCCTTGACTTGAGCAATGTCGAGGTGATGATGCCGAGGCCTGAGAAAATACTTAGCGTGTATCGCGACTCATTTAGGCTCGTGTCGACCATTTCGCCTTCCGGAAGCAGTAACTTTCAACACACGACTCCAATTGCTTTGAGACCAGTTTCATAGTCGAGATGACTCGATAAGCTCGAACTTTTATGAAGAAACCGTCGGAGCTTGGGAAGTGGAAGGCTTCCTGGATTTCACATCTTTGCACCGCATTGGAATCACCGGAAAATAAGCTTTTGGACCGATGTGTACTCCGGAGACTTTATCTTTCAAACCACTGTTCCGAATAGAGCGATTCCAACTGTTCTGAGAATGTTTTTCACAGATCTCAAACTTTGATGAAGACCTGGCAGGCTAGTTCGGACCTGAAAGGCTCCGTCCTTCGTGATCTTTGAAGTCCGCTGTTCGTTTCTCGAGTACATGCAGTACTGGTGCATCTTCCGGAAGCCGTATCTTTCTCCTCACTGGTCCGAATTGGATAACTCCAACTGTTCCGGGATCTTTGCTTGATTATCTCCAACTTTGATGAAGACCCCGCCAACTGATTCGGACTGGAAGGTTCTCCGGATTGCTGATCTTTGAAACGCACGGGCAAGGACAGGTTTTAGCCGAGAAAAGCTTCCCGCGGTAAGGAAAATGACTGAGGGCTATGTACCGCGGTAAGATTTTTAGCCGTAAAATTCCTCTCCCCTCGGCCAAAAACTTAACCCGAGGTAATTTGCACCCGATACTCGACCTTGGCCGATTTTGGTCGATCGGTAAGGATTTTGGCAGATAATGAGCGTTCGGTAAGCTTTTTGACCGAGGTTTCTATCCAGCCAGTACGAGTTTTGGCCGAGAAATTCCTCCAAGCGATTTTCACCATTTTTGACCCTTTTCTTCACCGTTTTCTTTTCTGCTCCTCTTCTTAAGCTCCAAATGGCTTCCAAAGCACCTGATAAAGACTTCAAAACATGCAAAACTCTTTAGGACCGAATGCAAGCCCTAAATCCTATTTTGGTGCCTAAAGACTCAATTTTCATGGGAAAACACATGATGAGGACTTTAAAATGCAACCTAGATGATGTAAAATATAGACCTATCAGATCTCTACGAAGAAATTCGAACCGAAGACTACAGAACGTTCCAGAACGAGCCCTACGTACCTCCAATGGCTAACCCTAGACATCCTGCTCGTCGTCTGCCTCACCAAGATGAAAACGTCCAACTCATTCACCGATTGAGTTGACTAGAGATGGTGGTCATGCACTTAATCGCCGCTCAAGCAACATCAAGAGCCGCCCTTCGCGAGAAAATTGACAACATGTCAACTCACTTTAACAAAAAGCTTGAAGATCTTTCTGCTCAAGTCAAAACCATCGAGACTCAAGCAAAAAAGGATGCTGAAACCATCAAGGAGAGAATGGAAGCAGTTGAAGGACGAGTTGGAGAGAACGAAGTTAGCATTCGCAAGGCTAGTGGAAACATCCACACCTTAGAGGTCAAGCTTGATGAAGCCGAAGAAACTATTAACGACCATAACAACCAAACCTACTACTACGTGGAAGAGATTTGGGATGGAGTACACAAGGTTCAAGACAAGGCAGAGGAAATCGACTCAACCATGGACAAAGTAGTCTATGCTCTTGATGAAGTCGAAGAGAAAGTCGAAAAGCTTATGCAAGGACGTGAAACGAATGGTTCGACGCTTCCCATTAAAGATCTTAACATAAAAGAAGAGGAAACAGAGTTAGAAGATCCAGAAATCAATTTAGATAGCAAAGGAGAAGATGAAACAGAGGAAACAACTCAGAGTCTTTTTCCCGCGGTCGGAACTCTCGCGACCGCGGCCAACAACCCTCCAGCCGCGGTCGTGAGCCTCCTACCCGCGGCAAAACACCCCCGACCCGCGGTCGTGCAGCCTCAACCCACGGCAAATGGTCGGTCAGGTACGTTTCCACCCGCGGCAAATGGACGGTCAAAACCCCTCTTCATGAGCAAACAGTGTATGCTATCAGCTCCAAAACATCTCAAGAAGAAAATGAGGTACTTCCTTGCAACATAGTTTTAGCATATGAGGATGAATATGAAGGGCAGTACCTCGAAGATGAAGACTATCGTCTGTTCATAGAAGGAGGCAATCCAGACAAAATGGTGGAATTAGGAGCACCAATCTCCAGAGAAAGGCTCATTGAATTCAACAAGTTTGTGAAATCGATCCCTCTTTACACAGGTTTCGATGATATATGGCATCTTGGTTGTTTGCAAGTTTTCTTTAGGTACAGCAAGGAGACAAAGGAGGATATCCGAACCTATTTTGGGAGGGCCAGACGTCTGACTTTTCCCAGAACATCACATGATGCTGCAATCTATTCAGTCCACCTTCAAAGACCGGAAGACTGCTGCCACTACACTAACAAAATCAGCAAAGAAAAGCTCGACGAATTCAATGATGTGGTTCGAAATTTGCCTGAAGGAATCACCTTTGCCAGAGCTTGCAAGGACTTCATGATAGGCCACTACTTCTGTGAGAGCAAGGAATCAATCCCTGAGATAGAAGACTTGTTCAACCATGCAAGAAGAGGTAAACATGTTCGAATACTTCACAAAATCAAGACTACAGGTCAGTTTCTTATCTCTTGTTCTATTAGAGGAGAAATGTTTAAAAACGTGCTTTGTGATTCTGGAGCTTGTCTTAACATGATGTCCAAGGCAATTGCTTTGAGACTTGGTATTAAACACCTGCGCAGGACTAGAGCAAAGATTAGTCTAGCTGATGATTCCAATGCAACACCTCAAGGAATAGCTAATGAAATTCCTTTGAGAATAGGAGATTGCATAGTGCATGTCGACTTCTACACTGTCGAGACGAGAGATGCAACATATCCAGTGATTCTCGGATGGTCTTTTCTAGCAACTTCCGGAGCTATAATGGACTGACCAAAGATGTCTTCACAGAAGCTGTCCCATACAACAGCAAAGCAGGAAAACGTTTTGCAACAGAAGAGTTTGAAGAAGAACTTTGGAGTGACGAAGAACCTGCTAGGCAAAGCAAGGGGGAAAACGGCTAATTAGTACCTGAACTGCAAGTTCTGGTACCGTTTAGTTCCCGAGAAATTTTGGTGTGCGAAATAATACTTCAACTCATACATATTGGCAACTCGGTACCTGCACTCGTCTTTTTTGGCCGATCAGTACTTTGACTTTGTTTCCGTTAGTCAACCCCGTCTATTTTTAAACGGGATGTGTCGAGTGCCACTGTGGCATCCACGTCACTATACCGTTTGGGCAAATGACAAAACGTCGTCGTGTAGGAATTCTCGAGAATTAAAAAATTATAAGGTAAAACGACGTTGTTTAATGATTAGGAGAACAAAAAAAAAAAACAAGACGCCGTCGTTTTATAATAGATCACCAAAACAAAGCGTAGTCTTCTTCTTCCTCTGAGGCTCGACCTGAAATTGGGGAAAAACAAAACAACAACAGCTAGGGTTTCGGTGGTCAAACAAATCAGTAAGGAATGGCTACATCATCGAATTCAAACAATTCCTCACGAATTTCAGGTAAGTTGGGAGTTGTCAATACACGCTTGTATTCTTCGGATAGCGATTTCCTCCGATTTCCTCTTGTTTATGTAGTTCTTCATGTTCATATTAGAAATTTGAATTTGTATTACAAATCTGCAGGGTTTAGTGTTGGTATGTCTTGTGGTGTTCCCGAAGGACTTACAGGTATGCCCATTACTTGTAGGTGTGGAGAAGTTTCTGTGATAAGAAGAACTTCAGGAACACCTAAAAATCCCGGAAGACTTTTCTATTGTTGTCCAAAACGGTCGCAGAAGGTAAATTCAGTTCACAGATTATCATTCTTATTAGCGTTATTTGAATGAGGAGTAAAGAAAAACTTTCATTTTTGAGCATGAATTCATGATGTCGTTTTATCTGGTGCAAGGACAATTATCATTTGTTCAAATGGACAGATGAGGCTATGGTAGAAGAAATGTTTCAGGTGAAAGATATGATGCAGAAGTTAGAAGTCAAAACAAGATCTTGTGAAGCAAGGGTCAATTGCTTTGACAAAGAAATGAAAACCATGAAGACCATAGCTCGTGCGTATGAGAAAGAGGTCGAAGCAATGAAAACTGAGCTATGGTTTATAAAGACTATGATTGTGTGTGGAGCTGTTGTGATCGGTGGTTACTTTTTTTTAGGGCTTAGTTAATTCTATAAATCTTGATGTTTTGTTGTAATTTGTTGGATTAAAACTTCTATTAATGTTGGATATTGTAAGATTGAGTTGGATTCCAAAATATTTTGAATTGCATAATTAAGACTGACAAATTTAAAATGATCATCCAAAGTTCAACACAGCTGGAACATTCAAACCAAAATAACTACAATTCGACTAAAGTCATGGTTTTAAACCAAAACAACAAAAACACCAAAACATCAAAACACCAAATAGTCATGGTTTTACAGCAAAACATCAAAGCAAATAACTACTACAAGGAGACTAAACACCAAAAAAGTATTCTCCTTTACTCTTGATTCAAGTTCTACCTGCAAAAAATAGCAAAATAATGATTCAAACTCATCCAAATTTTTGCTCATCTAACGTCATCACAAAGATTACTCAAAAAAGAAGAATACCTGATCAATCATCCAAGACTTGAGAAGGTTGAGTTTGAGATGGACCTTCTCCACTATCGAGTGTCATAACCTCAGGGTTTGATGTTGCACTTTTCTTGGACTTCTTTGGCTTCCTCGGCTTGAAAGGGACTCCCGCATTTGGGCATTTGCTTGAGTTATGTCCTGGCATGCTGCAACGGTAACAATGGATTGTGCGGCCATGGTTTGATACCTTTTTACCTTTTGTTGGAGACTCGGTAATTGATTTCAGCCTCTTTGCAGGTTTTCTTTTCCTACCCTTAGTAATCTCTCTTGGAGGTGCTTTAATTGTTGGTTCACCACTGTCTTTCCAGAACTTCATCCCATTGACAGGCTCGATTGAATCAGTGTATTGATCCTGCCACTTGGTAGTTAAATACCAATCCGAAATCAAATCCTCTTTCTTGAAAGTCTTCTTGTCGAAGACAACCCGAAGAGCATGACGACATGGAATTCCAGTTAGATCCCATCTCCTGCATATACATGTCTTCTCTTTCATATTGACAGTGTAATTTTGACCCGCCTCTCTCACTTCAAAAACACGATCACGACCAGAGAGTGATCTGCAGTTCTTCACTTCTTTATCCTCTTCTGCGAGAACCAGTCCAACCTTTAGACTATGTCTTCCCTGATGCTTTCGAGTTTTTCTCCTTCTCAGCTCTATTCTCAACATAGCTTGTCGCCTCATGGTTTCCAAACTCTGAACAACCGGCATTGCTCGTGCCTTTTCAATGGCATTGTTGTAAGACTCTGAAAAGTTGTTGAGTGCATCTTCACAGCAAGCAGTGGTCGTGAAAAAAGCTCGGCTACAGTTTTCTGGGTTTCTCTTCTTGAACTCTTGATACACACCGTCATCGTATTCCTGCATCTTCCTTAAATTAGCTTCATAATCAGCCACATAAAAACTCTCCACAACTCGCCAAAACAATGTTTTCATCCGAGGCTTCTTGCACACCTTCCTCAAATTCCCATATATATGTCTTGCACACATTCGATGGTCAATTTCTGGTTGGGAAGGGATTGCCT